TGGGTGAAGATTGCAATGTATTCAATTAGTATATGTCATCGATTACCTTATCAGGAATGCTTGTAATCACATTTATGTTTTTATCAATGGTACATGAACAGTACTCTGAGTATTAAAAATGTAGAAGACACCTTCTGTAAAGCTTTTTTTTTCTGTTTTTAGCTTAAAAAAAAACTTTTTCGCATTCCTCATTTCAAACTGATTACCTCTTGAAAATGAGAGAAGAAACTTAATCGGTATGTCACTCAGCCCTTAAAAAAAACAAGAAAATGTAGAAGATTTAGGAGTAGGAAACCCTTGTCTCACGTGCTCCTTAGCTCCTAAATAGCTCTTGCTCATTGACTTCAACAATTCGTTATTGACATGAATTGTTCACTGATGTCAACAATAATTGGCAAAGTGCATTATGACTGCTGGGACCTTGTCCTCGGGAACCTTGCTCTTCATCGCCTCAGGACCAGGCTCCTGGAGGACAATCAACACAGCAGTCTGCAACATTCTCTTGAGAGGATGCCAGCACGTCGGTGAGATCAGCACCAGCTCGGCAAAGGTCTTGCGAGCCTTAGTCGAAGGGCCCATCACTATCACATCTGCACCGCATAGACCATTTTACGAATGGCTAATGGTGCCACTATACTGGGCTGTTAACCTTGCTGTTTAATACTTTCTTCAAGAACCAAAGGAACAACACTGCAGTGGATGCACATGCATGAAAACGGTTGGGTTCGTGCATTCAGTATTCCATGATATTGCAAATTTGCATCGCAGTATACAGAAATTGTAGACATGAAATGCTTTTAAAGAACAGGCTTGGTGCATGTCACAGTATTCGGGGTGCTCACCCTTGGGCCCACTGACAGTCTAACTTGAGATGTCTTTTCCAGGCATAATTCATCAATGGCAGGGTGTTATTCTTTCTGTATAGATTTCAGATGACCAAAGCGCGGTGTTGTAGTGGTTATGATGCGTGACTGCTGGTTGTGGGATGGAGTTTTGACCGTGGCGACCGCAGTGCGGCCAAGACCGCGGCCAGGATCGTGAAAATCAGGGCCAGGGCTCTGAAATTGACTCCTTGACTACAATTAACCCTCAAAGGGTTAGTTGTACTCAAGCAAGTTTTTGTTGCACAGATATCAATGCTGTTCGAAGATAATTTAGTCAACACATTAGGGACTTGTGTGGCTATGGTAATGTGGTGTGTCATGTGGTAGATTCACTTTTGTCTTCTCAATTCTTGGATGTTTCGTTGTTGTTACTTCTCGAGTGGTGTCACATTTTATGTTTATCAGTCATCTTTTTGAACGATTTCTCACTGCTTCTTTGCCTTCAAGAGACACTATAGAAGAAAGCATTTTTTTTTAGGAAATAATAAAGTACAATTTCATAATCTCAAAAACACCAGTCTTACCACGACACGACACTTAGTTGTCTAAAGAACGCGTGAAAAAAAATGCAGGTGGACACATCCCCTTAAGATTCCCGCACCAAACGCCATGACGTCATAAATTTTGAAGGTGTACCATGTAGCTTCTGATTGATAAAAAGAAGTATGTTGTCATCTGTGAGTGCCATAGATCTAGCATATGAAGTTCCAGAAACATTTAAAGCCAATGTCATGAAAGTGAAAAATAAATTGTGAAATTTTTTTATGTCAAGTGTGGAGATTTCGGCGTGAAGTTTAAAAACTAAACCATAGCCTTGATTTTCTCTGCTAATAATGAACTTATGATAGTGAAACATATGGCACTAGAGTTCTTAGCATGCAGATTGTCAATCTAACCGAAGTCATTGTTTCTATTTAGTGGGCCTTGATCGAAGGCTCTCCTTATGGTCAGTAATTTAATTGGAGGCTTGCTTTAATCGGAGGAATTTTTAATACACAACATTCTTTCGCAAATACTCCTGCAATTTTGGTGGCAATGTCTGTCATGCAAAAAAGCATGACACGTTTCTTATAGGAACACGTGCAGCTCTGCAGAAACTAACTTTGGTTGAGGCGGGTCTACTTGCATTTGGAAGGAAAGCAACTAAGTTCTTGAGGTGACGGGTAATGGGCAACATATGGGCCTGCTTGTTAAGTAAAGCATCAGTGTTCACGGAAATGTGTTCAATTGAGCACTTTCTGCTCCAAACCAATTATCGCAACCCAATGCTGTGACATCCCAAATATTTCCCGCAGAAGTGCTGGCTGCACAAATGAATTATAGCCAATGACTATTTACTGGCACTAAGCTAGACAGTCAAATCCTCACTCAGCTTCTTATCTCAACGGACGCATGTGAACACTGACACTAGGTTTCGTTGCATATATCCAGTACAGCGGCATTAAGTAGTGGCCTACCATGTAAGATGGCAACCAAGGCAGTGAATGCATATCAGTTCCCTCAAGTGTTATCATGCACCTACCTAAAGCAAAAAAACATCTCCGCATAATCAAAACGGTGCCACATACGGAATTATAAGCTTTGTATACTACTTGCTCGGTTTCTCCCGAAGGGGGGTATGCAGTCACTGTGACCTCGACATTTTGCGTAACACATTACATCAGCGAATATGCTAGCTTAGAGGTGGGCTTTGCCTCCAGTAAATAAGACTTTATGTCTTCATGACTGGTTTGTGAAACTCTACCGATGTGAAAGCTATAGCAAATGGCAGATAGAGGGAGAAAAATTGCCTTGTGCCTTCAACAGCACTGCATCGTGCTCATGGTGTCATTCTAGTGTTGAGTGCCTGATGGTGCTAATAGGGGTACACCTACTTTCCGGTTAATAATGTTGATGCCTTCTGAAGTTCTATCCGACAATATCATGTTCAAAATTCAAATTCAGTTCAAAACTGTATTTGACATACCAGCAATATTTGTTGGCGTGGGGTTGGCCTGGGTACTTTGCTTGCAGTTTTGTTCATTGTTGGTAATATTTTGTCCCTCTCTTTTTCTCTCTCTTCCTAGGTGCATGTCATCAGATATTGAGGGACTGATGTCACAGGTGGACAACGAACATTACATCTGAATGATAATCTGAACATCACAGGATCGAAATGCCACCCGCGGTTTAAAGTTCCACAATGAAATAGTTGCCCAATTATTTCGTCAGAAATACCGTGGAATGTTTCATTTGTTAAGGACTATTCCTTCATTTGTAAAACTAGTGATTTTATTTGTGATCCTTTGTGAACGATTTGATGTCTCTTCATATTATGTTCATGTTCTTATTGCCTCTGTGTTATGTATGTGCAAGCTTTCAAGGAACTTTTTTCGATCACTGTTTATTATTGTGCTTGAACCTTCTCATTGCCCTTTTGCATTAAAGGACTGCTTGAATTCAGCTTTTAACCATTCATCGCTTGATCAGTTATATTTTATTGTACTTTAAAAATTGCTGTGTTTTACAAGCATGCTATGCATCCTTACTATTTAAATTCCCGTAAAAAAAAAAAAACAAGACTGCACAGCTTTGCACAAAGTATGGTGACGCTGTAGGGCAAACCAGTTTAATTTTAATTACTATGTGGATTAGATCATACCATTTTATTATGCTTAATGTTGAAAAAAAAGATTAAGAAAAGGGTCTGATAGTATCATGCATAATTGCCAGCAGACGAACTTTAAACTTTCATCACTATTTGTCATTATAAAGGCTCTGTCATCCATCTATGTTTATTGACTTCGTAATTACTCACAACTGTGGCTTTGACTATACTGCTATTGTTCTTACCAATGTTTTTTTTTTCCTATTTGAGGTTTATGTGCACATATTATAGAACTTAGAAATTTTATTTTAAGAATTTTTATTTAAGAATGTTTAAGAAGCACTAGCAAGAGATGTTCTTGCTAATGCTCAAACATATCATAATTTTTATGCACGTATAAACACAGAGGTATGCTCACATATACTTGCGCACACATTACAAGTGCCCGAAAGGAGCCATGAAAATGTCGGGACACTTGCAAGCTGGAAAAGTCAATTTCAACAGAAACGCTCTTGTACATTCAGGCTTTTTGGAATTCAAGCATTTATTGTACTCGTGTGGAGCTGTGTTTTGAAGCACAAATTGAAATTTATTTCATCCAATGTCTAGAGTAAAATTCATTTAGTGCTTGCACTAAATATGCATTAGGCAACAGCACTATGGGTCGTAAGTTGTGCTTGCTATTCACACTTTATGTCTCTCAAGCGCATAGATAAGCGTGTTCTTGACAAAAGAAGCGAATAAGTAGTACACTGAAACCATGACACTATAACGAACCCGGATATACCGTAACATCGGTTAATCATGAAGTAAATGTAAGTCTTGCAATAGCTTTGTATTAAAATTATACCTTTATAACAAATATTCGAATATAATGAACTTATTCTTCATGTAAAGTACAACTTTGTTATAACGAAATTTGATTGTAGTAGCAGACAATTCACTTAAGTTGCCTACAAACAGTGGCACCACTTTTCAGATAAAAGAAGTTCAGCGCTCGGCAATTGAAAGATGACTTTGGTGGATGTGGGTGCTGGTGGCGAGGTGAATGATGAAAGTGAAGGCTTGTGATGCACATTTACTGCATCCAATAAACAGTCGTTCAGTTTGTGGTTCTTGGTTGCACCGGCAGAGTGACTCAATCCTTCACGATGTGTGTTCGCCAGCTCTACCTGCGTCACGCTGTGCGGCATGGCAGTCGCACTGTCTTGAAGCCACGGTGCTCAGCACTGCGCCGGCGCTGCTAGGAACTGGTGACTGAATGGTCATCTACTGGATGCACTCAACGTGTATTGCGAACACTCTCACCATCGCCATCACCCATCCAACAGCTATGCATTCCAAGTATTACATTTCAATCAACCGACAATATTCTTGCTTGTTTACGATCGATTAAAATAGGATGCAGCCTGCGTGCATACGGTTGTAGCACCAATAACTATCTTAAAGGAACACTAAAGAGCAAGACGATATTTTGCGTATTTGTAAAGTACAATATCACAATCTTGAATACACCACTCTTTTGCGAGATGTTGCTTGGTAAGTAAGAAAATGTGCGAAAAGCAAATGCAGGTGGAGACACCACTTTGAGATTCCTGCACCTAACACCGTTATGTCAGGTATTTGAAAGGCATCTAGTGAGTCCTATGTAGAATATAATCGATAAAACTAAGTACATTGTCATCTGTGGGTGCCATAGACATTGCATACGAAGTTTCAGATAGATTTTATTCAACCAATGTCGCGAAAATACAAAAAAGGCATTTTGAAATTTCCAACATCGTGCGCGGAGATTAGGAGCGAAATTTTAAAACAAAACTTAACCTTGAGTTTCTCCTCTAGTAACAAACTTATGATAGTGAAACATATGGCATTATAGTTCTTAGTTGTGGTTTGTCAATGTAATCCAAGTCATTGTTTCTCTTTAGTGTCCCCTTAATTGGAGGCTTGCCCAATAGAGTGCCTTTTTTGGTAGTGCACTGGCAATGTTAGATGTCTCACAGTTCTGCCAAGATGACCTTCTCTTTTATTATTTTCCCACCGTACCATACACTTATGTGAATGCCACTAAACTGAATGAAAATGTTTGCTTAGGTCAGCAATGCTAGCCTCTGCAATAAGGACTCTGTACATATGGTAAACAAGAATAATATAGAAGTATTGTATGTGTTAGGCACCGAATTAATACTCATATGTTCCTTCTCTTCAGTTTATATTAAACGCATAACTGTGAAAGGAAAAAATATTGTCATTGAAACATTACTGCACACATAGGCTATCATACTTTAGGTTAGGTTAGCTTAGACTGAAATGATGCAATGCAGTAACGTTACTTAATAATTCCACTAGCTTTGCAATTTTTTACAATTTGAATGACGTGTTCTTTACAAATATTTATGCATGCATCAGAATTCCAATTGTTAAGTAAACACTTCTTGAAAATATTGCGAATCCTTTCATGGGTGTGCATTGTCAAGCTGTAATTGACAGAGATGAGAACATTAGGCCATCTAAGAATGTATGTCAGGATTATAGGCTTTCCTTTCACTTGTATAGCACGTAAACATATCAGCCCCTGTGTGCATTGGTTAACCAACCAGCAACCATTATTGGCCATACACTTTGTGAGAGTTATTTGAATTTAAATGCAGGAATTCATGAATTTACTGTCATGAGCCACATACCTGTTCTTTCATAGTATTGCCTTGCCAACCAGCCCTCAGATTGCTTGGTGTGCAAATTTATTTTCATGGTAATGATTCAGCTGTACGTTTCACTCACCTGGTTCTTAGCCATCTCTGATGTGTTTATCTAGCAAATCTGAAGGGGTGACCACTATGCATTTTTCAAAGTTGTCCTTGAAACCTTCTCAATTGATTATTGTTAATCAGTATTAATCTCATATCATACCTTCTGTATTTCATAATACAGCCACAACGGCCTCATTTTGATCAGAGAGAAATACAAAAACTCTTGATAACATGGTTTTATGTAGTCATCAAAGAACGAGTTGGTTTTAAGCTAATCGCTACTTTCATGTTAAACTGCACGACTCGTATAAAGTACCACATAGCACCACATGGCTTTAGTTCACATTATAACAGCATAACATAAAAAGCAAAGTATTTCAATGACTGGTCTGGTTTCGTTTGTGCAGCATTGGGACCTTCCATCAATCCAGCAGCTGCAGATGGTGAAGATCCCCATCCAGGAAAAGGCTACCAGTGTCAGTTCTGTGACTATACGACGTTAAAGTTGTCACATCTGGAGACACACATCAGGGTTCACACAGGCGAGCGGCCCTATAAGTGCAACCAGTGCCCTATGAGCTTCTCTGTAAAGTGTTCATTAACAAAACACCTGCTCATTCATGCAGGCGTGAAGTCCTATAAATGCCACATGTGTCCTCGGAGCTTCGCGGCAAGGCAAACATTAACGGAACACCTTCGCACTCACACGGGTGAGCGGCCATTTAAGTGCAACATATGCCCGCGGAGCTTCACGGTAAAGTGCTCACTAACCGAACATTTGCGAATTCATACGGGCGAGCGTCCGTACGAATGCAGTGAATGCCACCGAAGCTTCTCTGCAAGGCGTTCATTAACAGAACACATGCGCACCCACACGGGCGAGCGGCCGTTCAAGTGCGACCATTGTTCCCAGAGCTTCTCAGCAAAACAAAATTTAACGGAACACGTGCGGATTCATACGGGTGAGCGGCCATATAAATGTGACACATGCCCCCAGAGCTTCTCTAAACGGTCCACTTTGAAGGATCATCTGCGCACCCACACGGGCGAGCGACCATATAAATGCCCTCAATGCACAGAGAAATTTGTGCATAAGTCCAGCCTCAGAAGACACATGCATCAGCATGAACGTGAGCATGCAAGTGCACCTTCATTAGGACACCCAAGTGGAACATGTGGAGAAGGACAAGTGAGGACAGAGAATTGGGAATATAAAGGGCAAAGTATGACTGGACAAAAGCAATGAGCATTGCCATGCAGGGGAGGGAGTAGTCGATCACACACACGACATTAGAGTGAGTGTGTCAGTGCGATGTTTAGTCACATCGCTCACGCCATGGTATCGCCATGGTAAGGAAAGGACAATGGTTAACCTGAGGAGATCTTCAGATGGCTTCCCTGTGGTTGGGAACAGAAATGAGGGTGCACCAAGGCAAAGGACTTGCAAAAACGAATGAACTGAATGGTCTATATGGCTTGGTCAATGCGGATATTTTGAGCGCCATGTACGGTCAGCGACATTTCACCGGAACTCTTATCTCAGTGACAACTAGTGCTCTAGCATGTACACATCATAAGAATTGTGTAGTTAGTTCTTTGCGAATCTTCACATTCTGCACTGACAAATGCAAGTATCGAGACTGTCATGGTCTTTATCTTGTGGCTACTGCCTTGATTATACTTCTCTTTATTGGTCATTATGGACCTAGAAGCAGTTCACTGTTTGTCTTTGGTTATAATTAGCATACTACAAATTTCATTTTGTGGTTTCATAATTAACGAATACACTCTTTAAGAGCACATTGAAACACTGTGAATAACTTCATGTGTAGTTGTGTTCTGTCTGTCTCTTCAAACAAAAGTTGGCGAGGTAATAAAAAATTTAGCCAATTATGGGATAAAAATGCTGGAATATTACATTGCTTCCCCTGCATTGGTGTAACTGGTGCACTCTGTACGACTGTTGGCAAATTATGGAAGGTAGTCTTTTTACTTCAAGCTCATTTTTGTTGTCTCTATGCTCTATATATGTAAATTATTTTTGAAGACCTTTTTAAATGCAAGGCATTTCTTCGCCAATTAAAGGCACATTTAGAATTTTTGTCTACGTATTAATCTTTCTATCTAGCCGCTTACATCTGGGTACCATCGCGGTCGCCTCATGAACTAGGTATACAGCCTAAATTGATATGGGAGGGTAAGAGGGTTTGCTGAGTATAAGTATCTAGCCATGACGTGAATAAATTGAGAATCCAGTCACATACGTCATTGATTCCTTCTCTGCAGACACATGTGGCACATATCCGCATACCACAGACCACGGTATGTGCCCCAGATGATTGGCAGTTCATACCTACCCAGGAATAGCAAGGATGGACATTAGTAATTTACACGTGAGAGCCATTAAGAAAACCAACATCGGCAGCTTTGACACGAAAAACGCTAAGAATAAAGAATTATGATTCCAGAAGAAATTGAACCTAAGCATTCTGCATTCAAATCAGGTGTTCTACCACAGAGCTATGCGAGTTCTTGAAACTGCTTTGGAAAAGGACCCTTTGCAGGTGTAATGTCAGTGCAGCATCAGTTGTAGCTGCATTGCAGGCTATCTAGTTCTATAACGAACCAGTAAACATTACATTTATGCTCCTATGATACAGGCAGTATATCACAATAGTGTTAGTTGTAGTTTCAGTAATGGCTGTATTTTAACACCAGTAAATAATAAACATTACGTTTGTATTTCTATGATTCAGCAAGCTATATTCAAGCATTCCTTGACCCCTCATGAATACACAAATAAAACTTGAAATGATAATCACATCATTTCACTGCAAAGTGCACTTCATTTCCATAATACTAAAACGTCATTGCTCTAACGTGAGTACTGACATTAAGTCAGAGTATATGTTACCCGTGAAAATGCCAGTGCATTTGACATTCCTGGCAGGCCCATGATGTGCGCACAACTACCAAAAATTACGTGTCGAACTGCCTCGATGCACTTGGCTGAAATAAAAAAAATGCAGCATAGACAATTACTCGCAGGCCACTTCACTTGAAAGCGATTCTCACTGGGTGCCAGATCTGCTAAATTTTCAGTTATTCTTTTGCATACTATGACCTATACAATAGTTGTGCTGATAATAAATCGTGTGACGAAACACTGAGATCAAAAGCACACTGTTTTTTCACTGTTTATTGTCAGTACAAATAAACAACAAACCTGGTTGGCTACCTTGCTAATTAGGCATATAACTGTTTGTGGCTTGATGAACCCCTTGAGGTTGTTTCATTACAGTGAATAAATTGGTGCTTTTGGCAAATGCTGTTTGTTGTTGGTATTACGATGCTTGTACTAAAGATATATGACATCATTCACATTTGATTATACTCTTAACAGTTTCAAGAGAAATCCAACTATGGTTCTGATGTGCTCATTTCTTGCGGCTACTGAGTGTGACTACATTGACGAATTTTCATTGTTATTAATCATTATTATAGAAATGCTGTGTTTAATCTTGCATTTTGACTCTTGCATTTGTCCCTAGCTCTGACTTTGGCAGTTTTGCGATCACTCTCTAAATTTCTTCTTTGTTTTTTATATACACAAGGTTATAAGTACATTACATAACAGTGAAATTTCATTTGAAGAAGATGTTCTCAACAATCGTAGGTTTAGAAATTCTCCGATTCTTGCTGTGCACTGTACATTAGTTTTACTGTGTCCTGTAGATCAGTTTTATAACAACGCTGCACTAAAGCATTGTTAACATTGCCATCTAAGTGGTTGTTTGTGTAGCGCATATGACGATGCTAAAAGGCAGCTCCCGCACGTTGGATTTGAGCACTTGCTTGGCTGTTAGACGTGGCTTTTTATTGCGTTTTTTTTTCTTCTGAGTGGCTTAATTTTCACCAATTGTTTAATCACTGAAAGGCTGCACTACTAGTGCCAGTTTCACTTGATAGAATAATCAGATGTTCACCTTGAAGCAATAGTTCAGTAGTTCTACCTTAGTTCTCTTGCAATTACACTCAGACCTCATTATAACAAAGTTGCATGTTGTGCGAAAGTTATATTGTTATATCCAAAAAGTCATTGTAAAGCTTTATCTCTAACACTGTATATATTGCAAGGTTATTTTTTATTTACTTCGTTATAATCAGTATTTCGTTATATCTGAAAAGTCATTATAAAGGTGTGTTAACACTATATCTATCTGAAGACTAATCTGCACCTACTTTGTTATGACAGATATTTTGTTATATCTGGGTTTATTATATTGAGATTACAGTGTACAAATTAAGAATAATTAAATGACCAGCACAGATTGGTACATGATCAACACTTCCATTTGATAACACTTGACACTATGTAGCCTCTAAAATGTGCTATGTGCATTGCTACTGTAGCAAATACAGTAAACTATAACTAATGACAAATGAAATACAGTTATTTCCAAACCAAGACTAGTGTACAATTAGTGAGCTAGTGTACAACTAGTTTGCCCCAATTTCAGATGTCTAATACAAATGTGCAACTACAAAAGATATGTCATGCCCTCTTTCTGTTTTACACAAATGGTTATAGGTTGGTGTGGTCTACTGCAACAAAAACTTAGTGAAACATCAAATGCTACAGAGAAAGATCGTTAGACATGTAGCCAAACTAGATTACTGCACATCGACTTGACTTGTGTGCCGGGATTATAATATTAAGTATGAAAATGTGCATGTTTTAATTCTGCAATCTTATATTTGTTCTCACTATTTCAAGTGATTTATTCAAATTACTGCACATCTAACGCCGAGAGATGTTAGTGTGTGCACAGTGATCACCAACATAAAGCACATTTGCAGGTTTTGCAATAATTTCAAATTTGCATCGCTACAAGTTGCCAATATTCCGAATAGATGCAGTCACATGGCAAGCTTCTTGTTTCAAGAAATCGAATTATTTTTGATAAGTTTGCAATGACTTTCTCAACATCAAGAAACATACTTGCTGCAAGGTTTTCATTGATGGCTTTGTTATACATTGTATAATTCAAAACATTTATCAAGAACTCAGTTTTGATATTAATATTTTCTGTTCTTACTGTGTTTTTGTTTGATAATAACTACTGATAATGATCGACATTTTTTCTGTGCAGTTTTCTTTATTTTTATGTTCAAATATAGCTATTGTGATTGTACATGTTTTTATTTGTTGTCTTTTTCTGGTGTTCATGTACCTTGGACATGTTTATTTTTAAGGTATAAAAGTGTATATTATGTTTATATAAGTAAACTTAAAAATATAAAAGTAATATGTCATATGTGATGTTTATATAAGTAAACTTTTAAAAATGTAAAATTATTATGTCATATAAGATGTCATGTCACAATATCTCAGTTACTAATAGACCTTATGCAAAATTGCTGCCATTTGTCGTCCGTCGTGTACATAGCCGCCATGTTAGAGGCTGAGCGTGATGAAGTCTGTTAGGTCTGCATGCGTTTGCATGTGCCTGAGGCCTACCGACGTGAGGCGTGTATTGGCTGATAATCGCCAATACTGCGTCCCAGTATTGCTGCGTCCCTTGTTGCTCACAGACAGGAATTAGAAATGCTGAAGGAAAAAACGTGAGCCGTAAACGTTTCCCCTTGTTAGTTTTTTAAAGTGGCGGCATTTTGAGAATGTGCTCGGCTCTTGGCTACTGCTCCTGAAGATGTCTTTGTGTTCGCCTTTCCAAGAAAATAAAATGTGCAGAAGCATTTTCACTTGTGTTCCCACAAATGGCTGCACGTTGAAGCAAGGCAGCTGTTTACCAAATGAAGCGACTCAGACGCTTCATGCAGAAGCCATCTTCATGCAACAAGCTTTATCCCAGCTAATTGCACGTGCCTGCATTTTGTTGAATGTGCCGAGCACATTGAATGCTTGAGAAATGTGCACAGTCACCCGCAAGTCATCCCAATAAATGGCAGCTTGTCACACTCCAGAAGCAAAAACAAAACATGAAACAAAGATGCTTTAGCATCGTCTTATCTCTTCTCAGAATGCACCAATGACGCACACTTGTTTTTAATTCAACGTCTGCCATTACTGAAACGTAACAAACGAAACAACACGTTCAACGAAATCTAGGCATGTGCAATTAGCTGTGATAAAACGTGTAGCATGAACGTGGCTTCTGCATGAAGCGAAAAAGTCGCCTTCACTTGGTAAACGGCTGGTAGCAAAAACATTAAAAAAATCGCCTTGCTTCAGCTTAGTAAAATTGCTATTGCTTGTGTTACTTTCTTAGAAATGAGAACGCAAATATGTGTTACGAGACTAGTAGCCGGAGTTCATATGCTGGAAACATCATGAGCTTGAAGGAATAACGGGTGCCAAAGTTTACAGCTAGCCTTTTTCCTTCAGCATTTCGATTTCCTCTCTGTACAGCAAGGGACACAGCAATATGTTGGCATTCGTACTATCAGCCAAAACATTCTTCACACCGATACGTCCTACGTTTATGCATACGTAAACACATGCGGACTGTACGCGCAGAGCCTCTAACATGGCGGCTATGCACACAATGGCCAGCAGATGGCAGCAATTTTGCATAAAGGTAGAATGTGTTATTGAGCCAGTTGATTCATGCTGAAAAAAAGGTTAAGGATGCAACCCACAGTAGACGGTAAAAAAAAAGGGGGGGGGGGGAAACGGAATGTTCTGTCCTGTCCTCTTATATTTTTTTGGCTGCGTGGATTGCGTCCTTGACCTATATACCTACACTATGTATTGTATCTCATGTACATATCTTAGTCCAATGCTTCTGCCTTGATTGTCAAGGAATCATGGTCTAGTCTAGCACTCTATAACAGCGTTTAGTAAAGGAACCTCTCGAAAATCTGTATTTCTTGTGGAAAATAAAAATATTTGATTTGATTAGTTGGCCATTATTAAAGACCTTCCTATTTCATGTATAGAACTGTCTATAGGTTGTGGGAATTGAGGCTGGCCCGCTGCCTTTGCGCGGGCTTTGCCGCCTCTTTTCTCATGTCCCGACATGCCTACCCTCCTTCGCCGTCAGCCGCGCTGGGAAGGGCGGAGTGACGTCTAACTCCCTCACCCGGTAGCGGATGTTGACTGTGGCGCCGCGCGCGGGGGACCCCCGAGAGGTTTTCGCGCGCTGCGTCGGGAGCGGTGAGTACAGTCCGGGACTTCAAACGGTGAGCCACGCATTCTTTTCCGTCCGTCGAGTCCCGTCGCTCGGGGCTCGTCGGACTTCGCTGACGGCGCCTCGCGCCCGATGCGAACGCTCACCTTTTGTTGCCCCGCTGCGTACTCACGGCCGAAGGGCAGTACGGTGTCCTAGTGCGTGGCCTAGCTACGCCGACCCGTCTCCCTTCGAAGCCCACGCGAGCGCCTTTGCCCTCGCTCGAGCAACCGGGCCTTTGCTCCGGTGTCTCCGTGGATCGGCTTTACCGCGGAGACGTGCTCGTGGCACCCCTGTGTAGTACTTTGTGCCCGTGGCGTGGATAAGCCTATTTGCTTTCCCGCCGCGCCTATTTGCAACGGGCTGTACTGCGTTTGGTGTTGCCACAATAAAGTGTTGCGACTTGAGCAGTATCGTGTTTCCCGCCACGGCGACGGTTAACGCGTGCCCTGCGGCTCGCTAATACCGGACCCACGCTGGTGGCCGTACTCCTTCGGGATACGTGTACACCACACTGGCGCCCAACGCGGTATCAAAAGCTCTAGCTTTTGACTGCTCTTAGCGAGTCAGTTCGCCTGCGCGATTCGGGCTCGTCGCAACATGGCTGCTTCGCGGGACTTTTGTCCGCTGTCCCTTTTTAGCGGATGCCGCGTTGCACACGGAGGCCATTGCCTCTATTGACGGGAACCCTTCTGCACCCGTCCGTGTCGGCACCCCCTATTGCGGTGACGACACGAGGCGCCTAGCCGCTCCCTTTGGAGATGGCGCGTCGCTTCGGAATGGGCCTCTTGCCCTACCCGAACGTTACGCACAAGCGCCTCCGACGCCCGTCCGTGTCGGCACCCCCTATTGCGGTGACGACACGAGGCGCCTAGCCGCTCCCTTTGGAGATGGCGCGTCGCTTCGGAATGGGCCTCTTGCCCTACCCGAACGTTATGTCTGCTTCGTGGCATGCCGCGTTGCACCAAGAGGCCACCGCCTCTATCGACGGGCGCGCTTCGGCGCTCGCCTGTGTCGTCACCCCTTTTTGTGGTGAATACACTCCTACGTGGTAGCTGACGCGCTATCTCGTGCCCCCTGTTGTCTGCCGAGAACCTGGATTTCGGTGTGACGGCCGCTCGCGGTGCCTTAGCACATGCAAGCGTCGGGGGCGAAACAGCAGCTTCGCCGCCATTCGGCGAGAAGGGGGAGTCCCCACGAGGACGACCTTGGCTGCTATCCAGGTAAGCGGCGCACCGCGAAGCGGCCGAGCGGGAGAGCTTTCCGAAGGCCACGAGGCCGAGAGCGAACCCGTAACGCCGACTCACGCGGCGGTTGCTGCGGTCCTGAGTGGGCGCGATACCAGACTCCTCCATTTGGGAGAATGGGAATTGCTTTCGGCAGCGAAGAGCTACTGAAGGCTCAGCAGAGTGATCCGTTTCGAGTCTCGGAGGGACGGAGCGCCGTATACGCTGCTTGCTTTGCGGCGGGCGCCGTTAAACCGTCTTGACGAGGCGCGGGGCGCCGTTACGCTGCTTGTTCTGCGGCGGGCGCGATTAGGGGGCTGAAACAGCGTGTGTCGCTGAGTCCCCGGCGGATTCATTTTGCTGGACCATGACGAGCTCCTGCTGAAATATATAGCCACTGACGACGAGTCCCTAGACCCGTTTAAGGTGGTTATGCCCAAAAGTCTGAGAGCCGCACTGTTGCGATCCTCTCACGACGAATCCATGGCCGGTCACCTGAGTGGCTCGAAAGTTTTTGCAAACTGAGCAATGTTGTGACCTGGCCCGGCACGAAGCGTGGCTTTTATCGCTATTCCGTGCCTGCCACGTCTGACAAACGGTTGAGCCAAGGGTTGGAAAGCCGCCCGGTCTTATGAACCGATTGTCAGTGAGCGTCCGTGGCGCGTACTAGCTGAAAGATCCCCTTTGGGAAAACTCAGCCGTGCCCACATCGCAGACCTGAAGCCCTTTGTCACGGTCTGACGAGCTCGCGCCAGTGCCCTGCGGCACTTCGCGCAAGCAACGGGCACACCCGGAGCGGCGGACCGCATTCGGACCCCGCGCCGGTATAATCTGAGGAAGCGGTCACCTTTGTGATTTCGCGCCGGACGGCGGACTTCTCCGCAACCGAAGGCCCTCAGATTACTGTCTAGCCTCAGTATAGGTTAGCTTCTTTACGGCCTTTTCTCGTAAAGGAGTTGACCCGGCCCTGTCTGCTGCCAGTGTTTCTTTTTTTTTTGAAGTGTTCATGTGTATTTTGTTTCTTTTGTCTAATATTAAGTGATATTTGTATTTTATGTTTTTTGTCAGATGTTGAGTGTCGTTTTGCTTTGTTTTTACTTTTTTTTTCCGTGTTCGTTTTGTCTACCGCGAAGGGAGCTGTGTGTGACCTTGTGTGTCGGTGCTTGCCGGGAGGGAGAGAGACGAAGGACGCTTTGCGCCTACGCTCGCGCAGCCGTCGGCGGTGTGTGTGCGTGCGTGTGTAAGTGCGTGACGCTTCAGTGCGAGCCCGCGAAGAGTGCGTCATGGCTGCCCTCCATCGACGCGGACACTGGAGGTGCTGGGGGGTCATTGACCCACTGACGTCAGACCATCTGGCTGTGCTCTGCTCTTGGCCGTCGCCGAAGAAGCCGTGCTGCCTTTTCCACCATGGCTCCTGCGCGAGGCCAGCTGAAAGCAGCTATATGCCGGCCAACGCCAGGGCGCCTCGCAGCCAATTTTGGTTCGGCCTCCCTGACCACCGGAGAGGCCCAGCTTCCCGCAACGTCCAGCTTCGTCATCGAGCCGGAAATGCGGGGCCTCCGAACAACCGAAGCGGCTTTCGTCGGACTCGCGGCTTATCAAGAGCAGGAACAAGCCATCAGTGAGCCCCCCCTTCCGGTACCTCTGACCTCGCACTCGGGCATCGCACCCAGCGGACACTGTCACGCCTTTACCGCCCCTCCGCGCACTGGACGCTATCCCCCTTCAGCACCACGAACACTAGTGCCACGTTGCTGTGCTCCCTTCCGCAGTTATTTGTATAGTGTCATGTGTTTACTTTGTTATTTATGGTTTGTTTCTCATTTGTGACCTTTTTTTAGCAGCAGTAGCAGGGCTGGACTGAGGTTAGCTGTCGCTCATAGCAGTGTCATTTTAACTGCATGGGTGACGTCCGGCTGCCTTTTGCGGACCGGTAAAGGGCAAATTTAGAAGAGGGGGATGTGGGAATTGAGGCTGGCCCGCTGCCTTTGCCGCCTCTTTTTTTCATGTCCCGACATGTCCGCCCTCCTTTGCCGTCAGCCGCGCTGGGAAGGGCGGAGTGACGTTTAACTCCCTCACCCGGTAGCGGATGTTGACTGTGGCGCCGCGCGGGTAGCCTCCCGAGAGGTTTTCGCGCGCTGCGTCGGGAGCAGTGAGTACAGTCCGGAACTTCAAACGGTGAGCTGTTATGCCAGCGAGTCCTCGTCAAACGACCGTGCCTCTGAAAAAGGCAATCTGGGTCAAGGCCAGCCCGCAGTCTGCCTGGCGCGATCACCTCGACGGCGTGAACACGCGCGGCGCCTCTCTCGCCCACGTGCATTGAGTCAGCGGCGCACGTGACAGCGAGCCGGCGTTCTCGTGTCCGGTGGTCTGACGCATGGCGCGGCAACCCCATTGGAAGAATCTGCGCTGACGACCAGCGGCGCTTCTGATTGGACATTTTGGTTGGACCCGGTGTAAATAAAAGAAGCCCTGCGGCGCGTCGCGATCGGAGATCCTATGTGAGAGGCGTCCCCGTGTCGGAGTGCCGACATGTGTGTGAGTCAGCGGTTTTAGGCGAAAGGCTGACCTATGTGTTAGAGAGAGGAGCTCGGCTCTTCGAGTCTCTGCCGGCCCCAGTGCCGAAATTGTAACGCCTCTGTATATATGCTGTACATAAACCTTGTTTAACTCACCGTCGTCTCGTCCGCTCGTCTCCTCAGCTCTGCGCAGAAGCAGTCGCGAGCTGAGAAACATACGCTACCAAACGGCTGGTGACCTTCCCGGCGGGGTCGAAAGCAGTGGCGCCTCCGGGACCGCGTCGGCGTCGCCGTCTTTCGCAACAGTGGTGGCTTCGGCGGGATCGGTCCGCCGTTTCTCAACAGTGGTTGGCAGCTGCGGGATCGGCCGGCGTCAGCGACATCGATGCGGTGAGTGCCTGATGTTTTCCCCTCAGTTCACCAGACTACTCTAGCTCAGGTTGTAGTAGTTTAGAGAAGGGCTGTGTGAAGCATTAGAGTGAGCTTTGATCGTTTCAAGCAAAGTCGAAGTGCTTTGAAACCAAAGTTAATGCGGAGGGGGTAAACACGGGAGAGTGAAAAGTTGCTTGCGCGTCTTGCTAGTAGGCTTATAGTGGGTACGGCAAGTAGATTTTAACAGGGGCAAACAGCAAGAGGCTAGTGTGAACGATGGAGAACCTTAAAGTGAAGGAACTCATCGAAATTTGTGAGGAACTCGGCATTACTTTGGGCCGTGCGAAACGAAAGCAAGCGATCCTTGAGATCATGAAGGATGAGGGAGTGTCGGCTGAGGAAGTCGATGAGGCCTGGGTGGATATTAAAGCACGCCGTGAGGAGGCTGAAAGGCGAGAAGTAGAAGCTCGCGAAGAAGCTGAAAGGCGCGAACGTCGCGAGGAGGCCGAGAGACAAGAGCGCCTTGAGATGAAACGACTAGAATTGGCAATCCTACAGTGTTCGCAGGCGCCTAGCGTAGCTTCTCCGACGATTCAGGTCAGCGGTTTTAGAA